TCACAGCATTCCTGACTCTTTTTCGCCTGCACAAAACAGTCCCCTTTAGATTATGCCTTTGGCTACTGGGTATGATGGCCTCGGCCATCCTGGTAGTCTGGCTTGGCTGTTTAAGAGGGTTTCAGCGCTGGGTGGTTTCTTCAGGCGCTTCCTACTGTTCTTGTGAGGATTGACAATACCACCATGGGGGCTTATATTAGCCATCAGGGAGGGATGCATTCATGCTAACAGCAGCAAACATTTGTCCCTGGTAACCCTGTCCCAGGCAGGGTGAACTGTTTCCTTGATCTTGCACTCATAGGGGTCTTCTGAATTAAATTGAATTGAGGACCAGACACAGACTGTTTTATATAAAATCCTTCTCATGCACTTCAACAGTCTTATTCATCATCAAGTCTTAAATGATCCTGTTATGACCAATGACTGCTCGACTGTGTCAAAGAGCTACTTCCACAGTGTGGAGAAGCCATAATTCTGACTCCACGCCAAATAAAAGGGGGGAACCCTCCCAGGGATTGACACCTAACAGTTAAATAGTTAAAGGATTAAACTTCTCTTTCCTTTCTTTAAACAAAAAAATATTTTCAAAAAACTATTCAAAGGTCCCAAATATCTTATTTCACACACACACACACACACACACACACACACACACACACACACACACAGCTGGCGGGAGTATCCGCTGGATGTGTTAAGCAGAACTGTTGAACTGATCCTGCAGAATTATGCATCTCATTTGAATATGTTGATTTTTATAGCCACAGAAACCTTGTGACACAATGATGATGAATAACAATGATCACAGTATCTACACAAAAATCTGAATTTTCATTTTAATGGAAACTTTGATCATAAAAATAGTCGATGGCTTCTAAAAACAAAAGCCAGTCCTAATCTGCTCTTTTATGTCTTGAGATTAAAAATTCACTATGGTAGATTAGTAAAAATAAATAAATAAATAAGGGCGACTCCCACAATTTCTCTGTACTTCTTAAATCTACATGAAGAGACAGCAGATAGCTCTCCTAGTATTGAAACAGTCAATTTATCAACTAGCTGATCAGCAAAAAGTAATAATAATAATAATAATAATAATAATAATAATCTGCTGTATTTAAGCAAGACAGCAAGAAATGTTTTTTTTAAATTCTCTTCTTCCAACTTCTAAAAATTCAGGATTTAGGAAGTAATGTTTTTACAAATAACCAGTATTAACAGATCACACTGAGCTCTTGGAAATTATTTGGATCATTTCCTGCTATAGTTTAATGTTTTTACTGCATAAAGCAAGAGGAAACATTAACAAAAGATCAGGTCAACTGATAAGCCAAAGTGCTCTTTCAGGTCCTTGTCTCTATGCTGCTCAAGCAGCTGTGTCTTAAGAAAAGAGTGCTACAGCAAGAAAGCCTCGACTTGAGATGACATTCGCTTGCACTACTAAACTGGCTTCCTAGCAGGACTGCTAAACTGGAAATATTCGATTTCCATCCTGGTGCTCTTACTAAATGTAATCGATCAATAAGGAAAGAGAAACTTCTTTATAGAGAAACGGCATGAAGATAAGACTGAACTGGGGCGTGGGGCAGTCACGCACTGTAGGTGTAGGTTTAGGATTTTTAGGACAGGACACAACCTCACTGACTTTTTGTGGGACTGCATGAGTAGGAGGGACTGTGACTCTGCACTCTCAGGAAGCAGATAATAATGAGACATCCCCAGATTACTTGAGCTGTGTACATCAAATGTAAATGGAACATAGTGATGAAGTAATTATTTTTAAGCATGTAAATCTCAATGACTCATTTGTTTCCTCTCCAGTGTGTAGGCTTTAGAAACAGGTTGAATAATTCACCCTGTATTTTATCATGTTCCGCCATTTTAATTCAGCTGTGTTCCTTGCTGACCAAACGCCAAGCCAGAAATTGGCTTTTTATGACTCCAGCAGCTGCACTAAGCGCTGTTTATAACACAGTACGTCCATTAAGAATACATTGCAGTTTGTATTGCACTTTACTGCAGCCTTGGAAGGAAGATTCGTGAGAGCCAAATGTATGCCTAAACAGAAGATGTGATATCAATAATACAGCAGATGATCTCAGGTCCAGTTGCAATTTTGGTCTCAAGTTATCATGTAAGAGGATCACGGGAGTGTAACATAAGCTACATTCGAGGTAATTCCCCAGCTTTAAACAGATTAACTGAGAAAAACTATTGAAATGAGATTTTTCACACAGGGAACGAGTGAACCGAGTACAGAGATGAACCTGGAGACAGTTATTCAGATCCTATCTGTGAGTGCACTGCTTATCTCATACAATATCAAAGGCCTGTGACCTTGTGTTATCCAGCTTAACTGGCCTCGTTATAACCTGCTTTATGGTATCTTTCCCTTTTCTACACCATTTGAAAAATAAAGCATTCTTATCTGGTTACAGGGGAGAGATCACAACGACCTTCAGCTTGGTGGAGGTATTTTTATGTCTTGGAAATACAGGAAACCTTGATGTTTATAATAATATTTGGCATGGTGCATTATAGAGCCATCAGCTGTACTTGAACCTGTTTATCATCTGAAACATATGTGAAGTAGATCATAATAAGTAGAAGAATAAAGAGAGGGGCTTGTGTTTTCTGTTTACGCCTGTGTGAGTGCTCTCAGTGGTCCAGGAAGACCGCGCTCACTTCCAAAGGATGCTGCGTGGAAGAAAAGATGGACGCATACAGGTTATACTCACTCTGCGTAGCCGGTGGACCACGGCAGCCGCTTGGTCTCCTTCAGGATGAGGATCGGTCTTGCGATGTGATCCGCCGAACACTCGATCTCGTCTGGCGACAGTCCCAGGAAGTCCGGTCGGGTGTACGGGAATTTCAGCGGCAGATCCGAGCCGCTGGGATGGTCTCCGTTGGAGCCACCGGCCATCATACCTCCCATGAAATTGGCTACCGCCGACTTCACCCGCGTGAGCATGGTCCTGCTGCGGCGTGGGTCCAGGCAATGCGATTGCGTGAATGCCACCCCACCCCACACGCACCCCCCTCTTCCAGTCTCCCTGGCAGATCCCCGCACGGCGACGCAGATTCGCGGCGTGGAAGAAAGCAAAACACTCAGGATCCGCGGAAAGTCATTCGGCACAGCGATCCCTCTGCGAACACGGAAATAAAAGCTGAACAGGCTCTCTCTCTCTCACACACACAGAGCCAGACTGAGCTGCACAGCAGTCATGTGACAAACCGGTTGCTGCTGGTGGATTTGGTCGCTGGTAGCCTATCTCAGTGAGCCGCTTACTGTTGACAGTGCTGGAGGTCAAAGGTGCGTAATCCCGATGTGACGATTACCTCCCGAACAAGGTGCAACACAAGGCTTTGTAGCCTGAGAAAAAGGCGGTGACCCAAATACATACATATACATATAAATGGAGCCACACTGACTGAACAACACACAGTACAATAAACCAGCCGTGAGGGTTTCAGTGACTCTTTTATGGACATCTGCAGTCGTCTAATCTTTGTTTTTTCTTGACAAGGTGTGGTGCCACAGCTGTGTTGAAAAAATTAAAACCAGCTGTTTTGTTTCCATCTTTCTACAATTTTCTTTATCAAAAGATTGGAAATACAGTCATTGGGGAAAATGTGGTTATCAAAGGTCAAAGCCTACAACAGATCAAAGTTGTAGGCTATAACACAAATCAAGGCTACATGTGTAATATTCTTTTATCAAAAAGGCAGTTTTGTACTTTGAAGCTAATGTCCACAAGAAAGGGGTCCAGTCAACACAAATATGCAGTAAAAACCAGAACTGTTGTTTCAAATATGGCACTTACTGGGAGCCTTTCAGTGTCTAGTGGCATATTGCGTTACCACCTTCTGATTACATTTTTTCTTTCTCTTCCAAGAGTCAGTGCAAATCTTACTGACTGGGCATTAAGCCAACCCAGCAGGATGTCTGTCTAGAATTTATGGACTTACTCTGTCAACAAAGCTCCATTTTGGAGAAGTGAACCCTACTAAATGATATGTCATAAGTGAACCGCAGTCTGCAGAGCGACCAAACCACAGAATCGTACTCAGCTGTTTCTTCAGTGCTGAAAGGTGAGGGCGTTGCAACAAAATGACTTCAAATGATCTTCTAATGATCCATATTCAATCCCAAAAGTTCACTGAGGAAACAAAAAGCCGTGTGGACGCAGTCAGTTCTTTCAGCTTCGGTTTACTGAGCACAGACATGCCTTCAAATAGAAGTGTGAGCATTTCACGTCGGAGTCCCAAAATCCCCAGCCAAACTGACATATGGCATTTACCTTCACTTTAAATGCAAATGGCAAAATCTGCTCTTAATCACTTCATCACCTATTATCTAAGTCATGCTCTTTATAATAAAATTCCACTTATTTGACAAACACTAATGTGGTTTGGGTTTCTTGTCAAGACACCAGAGGAACTTATTTTGTTACATAAGTGCAAAAGTTTGCTTCAACCTACCAGCATCCAAACTCAAACACGCGTGTCATCCAGTGCTGTAGGAAAGAAATTTGATTAAACTTACAGTTAACCTGCATATTTTTTTCTTTTTTAAACAGAATGGTCCTCTTTCAGCACAAAACTAAAACTAGGTGTGGACGCAGGGCCGCTTTGTAAAACAGGTTCCAGTTCCCCAATCTCTTCACTGGTTTCACTGTGGCAACTGTATAGTTGCTTTCTGTTTTATTTTGAAAACCACTATGAAAGATATTTTTTGAACACTGTGCTTGTGATGTACAGTTTCTGTGTGGAGTTTGCATGTTCTTCTGGTCGGCGTGACTTTCTCTCATAGTATAAAGACATGTGATTTAGTAAGGGTTGGGTTAACTGGTAGTTCTGCAAATACAGCAGGATCGGTATTGCCGAAACCGACAGAGATATTTTTAACCCATGAGGGCAGCTCATATAGGACAGAGCAATGTGTCATGATTTATGCAATTTATGAGCTTTATGAGATAAATCATCAGTTTGCCAATTCTCAATTCAGATTGTTGTGATTTTTACTTTCCACAATAATTGGTTACCTACCTTTCAGCTTTATTTTGAAACTGCTTCTTTTTTGTTGTTGTTTGGAGACCTGGAATGCAAATGTGCCTGTCTCTGCTGCACTTTGGGTCAAAAATGTGCTACAGACTAGAAATAAAATAGACACAAAAAGCTTCGGACATTTTTTATAGTGCATGTTAATAATGGAGTGCATGATTTTATTTTTTTATTTTTTTGATGGGAGTGATTTTTTTTCTTGAGAATCCTGTAAAATACAGCATGAACTCTTGGGGTTTATATTGAGGAACACTCAGACACAGTATCTCTTAAATCTTGCGGGCCAATTAAAATCGTGAGCACGCTTATTATACAGAATGTCTCCAGTGAAAATGAGTAAAGTCTGATGAAAGTGAAGTTGGGAATTTGGCAGACTATAGTAAATCAATAATTCATGAGCTTGCCAGCAAAGAGTTCTACTGACCTAATTACACAGGAAAAGCAACAGTCTGTGAGCAGGATGCAGAAGATGATATACTCTACCTGCGACTGGATTTTCAATCAGGGATAGCTGGTAAAAAATTAACCAGAACAATGAGTGTGGCTCTTGTCTTTTCTGTGCTAATTATACCCCATAAACTGACAACATGCACAAAGATAAGCTCATTTCCCAGGAGACCTCACATACATTCTTTTGAAGTGATAAACTATTCAAAGCTTCCAAATGACAACAATTATTTAATGGAAACCATGTGTTCAGCATGCGCACTTTTTAGCAACAGCTGAGGCAGACATTCGTTCATTTGATCTGTTGTTGCACAAGATGAAAAGTGAAGCATCACCAAAGTCATTAAGACTTCATCTGTGAAACATCTATGCAGTCTTAAGGCAGTTTATCTCATTGTTATTTTAACTTGATGCACTGTAGTATCAAAACAGGGCCCCACCTTGCTTGCCTTTCGTGAAATAAACTAATTATGTGTTTCACTAACACATTTATAGTCAAATTCTGAAGTCTTGTTACTGTTTCATCTTCACAGAATGTACCATTGTGGTTCATGGAGGAGTGTACAGCCTTTATCATTTTCTAGGAAGATGAGAAATAGTTGCAGTGATTTATTACAGTATGTAAGGGAAAACAGTTTGTACACTTCTAAGAAGCTTGAAAGTCAATATTTGGTATGATTGTCCTTTATACTTCAACATGTTTTGGCTCTCTTTTGCTTCTGTTCTCTATCAAGATTAACCCACACTGCTTCAGTTATGTTGACATCTGAGCTCTGGGGAGGCTAATCCATGACCGATAATTTTCCTTGTGTGCTTTTCTATTTATATTTCTATATCAGCAGTGTGTTTGAAATTGTTGTTGTGCTAAAAAAAATAAAGCTGTGGCCAATCAGGTGTTTTCCAGATGGTACTGGTCAAATAAAATCTGATGGTTTTTTCTGCATTCACAAATCTATCAATGTCATTTTCTTTTCTTTTTTTTTAACTGAATGTGTGGAGTAATTTAAAATAAAGATAAATAAATTAAATCTCATCTGGACTCCAATGTAAGTCTTAACTTTATGTTGTGGTTTTTGAACCATGTTGAATGTTGTTATCTGGCAGATTAAGACCTCCACGGGTTGAGATGCAGCATCAAATCATGACAGAGCCTCCACCGTGTTTTACACATGGCTGTAGTTGTGTTTGAATGATATGTTAAAAATGTATGATGTGCAAACTGATATGTTTAGATCCACCACTCCATAAAATCTGTTTCCACTGATTTTCAGTCACATTAATGTGTAATCGGTCATACCTTGCCCCCTCCCCCCTTCCTTCCTTAAGGAACTGCCTCTTGACAGTCAGCTTTCCACTGCGCCCATTTCTTATCAGGCTTCAGTGAACAATAGATGAATCAACTAAAGGATCAGATGAATCTCGCAGGTTTTTTTTGCTGGATTTTATCTGTCTTAAGTACGATTTTTCAGATGTTTGCCTGCAACAGAGATTTTACGCCTGTCATGATTTCTTTTGTCCTCCACTTGTCCAGTTTCTTCAAAATTTTAACCACACACTGCACATCATGTCAAGACATGCTGAGTTTACAGTAAATTGCTCTTTGGGAATCACCTTGTTGACTATTTTATGCCTGTCAAACTGTTATCTTTGGCGTTTTCATATATTCAACAAAAGAAATCGGAACAAACTCAGTTTTGTGACGGGCTGCTACAAAGTGCCTAAAGATACAAATTGAAAATTGGTTCTTTGCCAAGTTGTGTGTAGACATGTAGCTTGTTTATGCATGTCTTGAACTATTGCTCAAGATCTCCTTAAACAAAAGAAAAGTCTGGCTTGGAAGAAAAATATGACAAAAGGAAGGCTGCTTCAAGACCTTTGCACAGCACTCATTTTCCAGTTAAAGGGGTTGATTTGTCTGCAGAGAGACATCTTTAAGGCCTTATCTTGTAACATCAGTAGCTGACCTTACTAATAATCTTGTGGCCTTACGGGAGCAAAAATTCCTACTGCCAAAAGCAATAATGGAAACCACATCCAGAAGAGGGAAGGCTGCATAGTCCACAGATTTGAGATGAAATGTGTATCATATTGGTGCAAACCTCAGCTGATCCCCCAGAATAAAGAGTCATCAGAAAAAGTTCTTTTTGAATCCTGAAGCCAGAAGAGATGCAAGCAATAAAATCAACCGTATATCTCTCCCCTTGCTACATTGCATAATTTGCAATATTTATCCAGTGACTATTTGAAAACTACAGTTTTCAAATAATCTGTTAAGCATTTCTCTTTGCTCTGTCTTCAGCTCCTTGTTATTCCTCCCAGGATAATGATGGTGATGGCAGGGTCAGGATAGCTTGAAGAATCTGTTTGCATTTCTGTAATCAGTCTGCTACTTGAACTGATGACTGACTCACAGATGGATAGAGATGGCAGAGATGGCACACATGCATACTTGCAGCATGGGGTAATGTGGAGACAGGGAACTCACATATAAGCATGGATCACGGCAAAGGCTTTTGTTAATCTGCAAAGAAAATTCTACAAACCTAAAGTCAGCAATGAGTAAAATCTAATTTTGAAGTCAGGATAAAATAATTATTTTCAGATCCTGACTGTAATATTTGAGATCAGAATCAGTTAGGGCTGGATAAGGTGACCTTGAAGCATCACTTTTTTATGCTGCATAGGCTGCTGTAGGACTGTCTGTGACGCACCAAGCATTTCTTCGATACACCTCGTTTCACTCCAGGTGTTTCTGTAACACCGCTGTATGCAATTTTCTTCCTGTGTTTTGTCTCCATCTCCCTCTGCTCTCCTTTTGTTTCCCCTCACCCCCAACTGGTCGCAGCAGATGGCTGCCCCTCCCCGAACCCGTTTTTTCTTG